ACATTGTATCTATAAGCTGCCCCCACACCCCTGGCGCTCTTACTGCATTTTCCCTTTCTTTAGTTAACCCGAAACCAAAAAATAATAAAAACAAAATCCAAAGCGGTGGACGTACACCCGAGCTGCAGCTCATATGCCTTGCTGCTGCTGCTGCCGCTGCTGCTGCTGCTGCTGTTGCTGCTGCTGCAGCTGTTGCGGAAACGCTTGCTGCTGCTGCAGCTCTTGTTGCTGCTGCTGCAACTGTTGCTGCTGCAGCTGCAGCTGTTGTTGCTGCTGCTGCAGCTGCAACTGTTTCTGCTGCAGCTGCAGCTGTTGTTGCTGCTGCTGCAGCTGCAGCTGTTGTTGCTGCTGCAGCAGCTGTTGCTGTTGCTGCTGCTGTAGCTGTTGCTGTTGCTGCTGCAGCAGCAGTTGCTGCTGCTGCTGCTGGTGCTGCTGCTGCTGCTGCTGCTGCTGCTGCTCTCTAAAGGCCAGCAGCAGCTGCTGCCGCCACCACCTAAGCTCCGCTACTTTGGCGCTGAGCTGCCTATACACCTCAGTGTCTTCGATGAATTCCAGCAGCAACCGCGACGCCTCTAATCTTATATAAATACCGGGACACAAACCTGCTGCTGCTGCTGCAGCAGCAGCAGCAGCTGCTGCTGCTGCTGTATCTTCTGCTGCTGCGGATGGAGCGTGTGTCTTCTCTGCTGCTGATGTTGCTGCTGCTTCTTCATTTGCTGCTGACGATACAGCTGCTGCCACCGATTCTGGTGCTGCTGCTTCTGCTGCTGCCTCTTGCACTGCTTTCGTGTCTGCTGCAGCTCCTGCTGCAGCTCCTGCTGCTGCTGCTGCTGTTGTTTCCGCTGCTGCTGCTGCTGCTGCTGCTGCTGCTTCTCCTGTGTCTGCTGCTGCCAGTTCCGTCTTCTCCAGTCCAAGCAGCTCACTTCGTGCTGCCCCTGCTGCAGCACCCCCTGCTGCCGCTGCTGCTTCTGCTTCTGTTTCTTCTGCTGTTGCTGCTTCTGCTGTTGCTGCTGCTGCTTCTGCTGCTGCTGCTGCTGCTGCTGCTGTAGTGTTGAGCGCAGCATCAGCTTTGTCTCCTGGCCCCTCCAAATCCTGCACGCTCGCTGGCCGTCCTGTTGTCAATTGTCTGCTGCTGCTGCTGCTGTTGCTGCTGCTGCTGTTGCTGCTGCATGCACCTTCGTCTGCATCATTCACTTCAGAAGCAGCAGCAGCAGCAGCAGCAGCAGCAAGTTGCTGCGCAACCAACGACAGCAGCGCTTCTGCCCGCTTGAGGACAAAGTTGCAGACAAGGACCTCAGTCTGCTGCGTGTCTTTAAGAGAGCTGCTGCTGCTGCTGCTGCTGCTGCTGCTGCTGCTGCAGTTTCTGCTGCTGCTGCTGCTGCTGATGGCAGCA